ATATGACATGGAGTCATCGAAACGTTGTGTGTTTTTCTCGCTAATATTTATTCTTAAATGTCTAACAAAATCTAATGTCATCCATTTATTTCATGTAATTTTTTCATTCACTCTATTTTTTATTCACAATAACCTTTTGGCCTCAGTCTGGCAGTGCTTTACGCTAAAGGGAAAGACCTATCTTTGAATTTTTTGTCTTTTGGAAAATGGTTACTAAAAAAAATTCTTTTATTAATGCGGTATCCAAGTATTTGCCAATTTCTCATGCAGCCAACATCCAACGTTGTGTAACATCAGAGAGTATCATCAGTCCAAAACTCAAATCACTGTGGGCAGCCTCCTCCCTTTACCACGTTATCAGTTGAGTGACCAAGTATATCATAAAATAGATTCAACAAACCTGTCCATTCTGTAAATAAGCAGACATTCCTGGAGCAGCGGCAGCAACAGCAGCTTCAGCCGCTGCTTCCACAGCCTGCTGCTGCTGCTCATGCTGTGGTGCACCGCTATCGTCACTGTCACTGAGCCCGTCTCTGCTGTTTTCACCGTCTCTGTTAGCGGATGCAGCAGCCGCTGTACTTCCTTGGTATTCTTCCAGCTTTCTCCTGGCATCAGAGTCGTCAAATGATTCTTCACCGTCTTCTTCTCCGCTACCAAAACTGCAGAACAAGGGTTACCAAAAGCATTTCAGTCGAAACAGTACTTCAGTAGTTTAGCCGGTGTAAAAACAAAACACAACAACAAAAACAAAGTAAACACAAAACTAAAATTAATGAGAATAACAGACAAAAACAACAACATAAACAATCATACCCTGTTCAAGTTTATGTTCAATGATTACAAAGTGATAGAGATAACTTTCCCCTACTGACTAGACAATCGAGAGATTCACCGCACGTATGTGATATGCGCACTTTTCATTCATTTTTTCTCTGAAAGGTATTACTCCAATCAAACACAAAATACCGAATACTTACCTTGAAAAAGGCTTTGATTCACTTGCTGACAACTCTAACTTCACACAATTCTTAAATGTAACACGCAAAAGATTAATCGTGTAAAACTTTCAGTACGATACAATAACATAACCATAATTTTTCTTTTTGTGTCCAAAACAATAACATCATCCTCAACTCTTAGTATTACCTGTGGAGAATCCACCATGCTATTTTCTTGTAAACTGCAGGGGAAATCAACACAGAGAATAACATGAGCAGGTTACAAACAAACATTCCAGCGGAGGAACTGGAATCAACTTTACGCCCTAAAGTTTGTTTTGCCAAGATACTTACCTTGATCTCTCTTCAAACTGACTGGCCATCACATCATCTCTCCTCTTAAACCACAAAAATAACAAAACATGATTTCGTACTAAAGCCAACTTATTTGTAAATCGATATTAACGATTAAAATACGGCTAACTGTTCAAATAAAAGCAAAAGGAAAATACAGTAAAACCAAGTTAAGATTTGAGTTAAACAAATTCACTGCCCAGGTTATCCAGCTAATCTCTTTAAATCCTCTCCACACTGTAGTTTGTCAATTTATTCTTACCTCTTGTTGATTTTTTTTTTCACATAGAATCACACCATAATTTCAACATCTTTTCACTATTCAAAGGCAAAAGACTACAAATATAATGGTATAGCTTCTTCATAGTTATTTAACTCATTTTAATCAAAGTTACAGCGTACTCAAAACAGGTACAGTCCCTAGCAGACAGTCCCTAACGAACCTTTCCAAGATCTTCTTCCTCAGCTTCTTGTTGCTCCTTAGAGATTGGCATGGCTGCAGCAGCTTCGTCTTCCTCCTCTTCATCTTCCGGTCCTTCGTCATCTGCACCATCATCTTCAGCGCCTGACTCTTCTGATGAAGACTCCTCGCTGCTCACATCATCTTCTTGTTCCTCTTCCTCGCCCTCTGCCTCTTCGCGTTCATCGGCAGCGCTTACACCCTCCTCTTCCACAGCACTAGACATAAATATATGTGGTGTAAACCTTATGATATGGCTTCAGGAGTAAAACAAAGGGAATGTCATGGTTTGGTCTCACTAGAGCTGGCGAGACAAGTGGCCATCGAAGTTCAAGATTTTGCAGGGCAGATGCTGCACAAATTCAACGCACAGTTTGACAGTGATAACATACATGCGCATTGTAATAATTTCTTCCACACAGAAAGCGCTGTAGACGTGAAACGAAAATTTGTGATAATTTGCTCGTTTGTTTATTTAAAATAAAGCTCTATACTTCGTCTCAACTAGTTGACACCTCACGGAAGACAAGTTACGAGGTTACGAGAAAACTACTACGCCATCCATGCAACTCTCACGCCATCCATGCAACTTCATAATTTTGAAAATCACAGTTAGGCACTCTCTAACATTTCAGCAGCAACCAAGTCAATCTGGCCACATTGTTAATCAGACCAAGATTCAATGTCAAAGCGGCTGTTGTCTTAACAAGCCGGATTACCCCGCGGAACAAAAGAACAAGGAGCCAAGAGAAGTCAGAGGAAATCATATCTAGACGAGCTCGCTAATGACACTAACACGGAAAGCGTTGCAAGATATATACGAAACAGTTGTTGTATTCTGTTCGTCAGAACTCAGTAAGAACTCTTCTGTCACACCTGTCTTCGGGCGGATTATTCTCTTTTTCTTCAGTATCATCATCGTCCTCTTTGTCTCCGTCCTGACCGGTTCCAGTGTCCGTGCTCGCAGAATCAAATCCCTAACATATCACACATCAACAGCATTTGTTACAATATTTAGAAAGACAAGACTGCTATTTTCTAACATTGGCCAAACCAAAGAAATTTAAACTAGTCAAAGAGAGACCAAATTCGCTAAATGGCTTCAAACGTGGGAAGACGCGAACGAAAAATCAGCTTTACATCGGATTTGCTAAAGAGGTGTCGTAGGATACCTGGAATTAGTTTAGGAGAAGGTAAAGCGAAAAAATGAAAATGAACACTGCACGTTAAGAACGCAAATGAAAAATGCTACATTAAAAACTAGTATAGACCATTTTACGCTAATACGAAGCTTTTCCACGAAGGACACAGCAAGCTGGGTATTAGTCAATTAAATCAAATGCCTGTAATCAAATAGAGCCCCAAAGTTGTGTAAACTAGTTTGTAATTTCACTCAATGCAAAGGAGCAACCTAGCAATAAACACGACAAATTAGCGAGGCTAACCTGTCGCCACGTTGGTCTTTGACTTGCTCCACGACCTCTGTATAAAACCGTAACATTAGAGGACAAATGTTTTAACAATGAATCCAGAGTCATAAGCAAATAAATCATCAAGGTAAACTAAAAAAAATAATAATTAATAAAAATACGTTAGGGATAACTTTCTCTAATGAGGAACTGACCACAGCACCAGACGAAATAAAAACAAAAGTCACTGTGTGACGCAAAGGCGATGTAACTTATTTTTAAAAAAAACTCCAATTTCGAAAAGTTTTCTAAGAAAAATAGGACGGGAAGCTATGCTGGCGTTTTGAAGAACATTTTCTGTTTAAAAAGAGTTTTCCGGATATGTGTGGAAGGTTGACAAAGTTGCGTTTTCAAATTTCCCTGCCTCGCTGTGGACGGGGCCTTCAACTTATATATTACTTGTGTTATGGAAATTCTCACCCGTCTAGGTCTTGCATAAGCCTGAAAAACGCCAACTCGTTAAACAAAATCTCAGACATGTCGACAAGCATATCCTCGCCACAGTCTTTCATTCTAGAAAGAGAAAGACGTTTGTAACCAAAGTTCCTCTCTTTTTGGAACATTTTCGGTTTTTGAAACACAACTTGATTGGTTTGGACAACGATCAAAGTTACTCTCCCAATTTTGAAGGGTCAGTTGTAGCTCAACGTCCCTTTTGGCGTCTAGAGAATAACAATTTCAATAAACTGTGTAGGTCTCCAAAGCACATCTGCACTAGTCCAATGTACAACCCCGAATTTAGAAGAAGGAAAGACACTCACAAAAGATCAACAGAAAAACAGACACAACGACAGACAAACAAACAAAAAAAACAAATAAGTCTCAACCCTTTTCACCCTATCATTAGCATTCATATTCTCTATACAGTTCTGTTTTACAATTCCTTTTTAAATGGTGATTATTTCCTTTCTTCTCAAGACCTAAAGTTTGATTCCAGGGTAATAATATTAAGAGAAATTAGAAGTCCGACACTCTTGGAGGTTAGTGAATTAACGACAACAAAGGGAATTGGCAAAACATTAACACAAATTAAATGCTAAAAAAATACAACAGGAGTTAGCTCACGTTCTATCCGTAAATCTTGATAAAGAATCCTGAAGAATGGAAGCCAGCTGCTTGTGAAAGAACCTTCCAAACTCCTTAATGATGAAAATAAAACGAAACAAATTGATTTTTTTTCGTTGTCATGATGGAATAGAGTGCAGAATGTAAAATAAAAACAACACTTTTCCAATGCAAGATGAAAGTATGTTCACCTGATCTTCATTGACTTGAATCCGCGATAACACCAAACTTCTTATATAACCCAGCAGTTCAGATGTGCATGTATCCTCCATGTGTTCATTCAAACAGGGTATCACCTCCTAACAAAAATTCATCACCACAACCAATGTAAAAAAGATCGTCTCGCTACTATTTCTCATTTCCAAACTAGTCATCAGACACTTAAGAGCACTCGTCAAATCTGAATGTCTGGTTTTATTTACTTGAGCCACAAGAGCACAAGCTCAAGTCCAGGCTATGTCGTTAGACTGTCTTCTTGGACAAGATACTAAACTTTCACGGTACAAATCTTAAACCAGAGGTAGACATGAGTTTCGATAAACTGCTAGAAAAACCTGACAAACTACTGAGGGTAACCCGCGAAGGGCTAGTATGCCATTCAAGGGAATTGGCAGCACCACAAGTGACTTTACGTTACGGAAACTGGGTTATACTCAGGGTTAAGGTCACGGAATGAAGCCCAATAACAATGCCATTTGCACAGAAAACAGGCACTCAACCTGAAAAGAGGACTGAATAATACTAGCCAATTAAAATGTCCAGCTTAACTTGAAGAATTTACGGTAGAAGGTAAGGTGGAAACTGACAGAAGACACTTAGTTACATGGCATGTTACATGGCATTTCTTAAAAAATGCTCTTTATGGGACAGGAAGTGTCGATTTCTCTCAATGAACTTACCGACATGATTGACTTTATGAGGTGGTCCAGCGCTTGAGTGTCAATTCTTGGATACTATGGTGAAAAGGCGAATAACCTATCAATACACAACCTTTCTCCTATTAGCTACGAATTCAGTTGGCAGGTCGCAAAAATGAATCTCAGCGTGGGGATGCTAAAGACAAAATTTGCCAAACGCCCGCCAAACGATTGGTTGATGGCAAGGAACGTATTTGTGGCACGTATTTGTAGAACGTACGACAAAGACAACTGCCAGATGACACAGAACTACTAAAATTTAAAGTAGGCATGCTACCAAGGCTAACCTGAACATCCGATATGGAAGATTCGCTTCCCACGTCTCCAGCAGAGCTGGTGGTGACGTCGTCTTTGACGTGTTTGTCCCCTTTTAACAAGGCAGAACCAGACACAAGTTCAGTCAGCTTCCCTTCAGTTCTCAGTCTCTCATATTCACGCATCCTGCTCAGAGCCTTCAAAGAACAAGCACAAAAATTAACCTTTTCATAACTCTTAAGGCTCCTTCCACATGTGGGAATTGACCGCCCGCACCCAGGGGTCCAGCGGGTCATAAATTTTCCACTGAAGTACAGAATTACGATCGGGATTTACTGATTAGGCAGAAATATTTGGATTCTCACCTCGAATACTCCACAATGAATACTTCAACCCCGTGAAAAGCCTTTCAATTAAGGTCCAGCCTGGTTTACGTTGCATCGTCAACATAATATATATTTGTTGAAGCGGCTTACCTTGTCGAGGTGAATGACAGTATCTCCCAGACCTTCAGACGCGAAGGGTGCCTCGCCAGTGTGACTAGATGTAGGAGTGGAGAGGGTGCTACCTGACTCGACGTTTTCTGCATAATCATAGATTCCTTCTGTGACGGTCTCGGCTGGGACTGTAGCCTCTCTTGTCTACGAATCAACAAAGCAAAAAAACAAAAAACAAAAAACAAAACAAAACACATCAATAAAAGCTCTGGAGTAATAGTAGTGCCAAACAACGAGTTAATCAAAGGTGATCCATACGCTACAAGTTCCTACTATATGCCACACAACGTTTGAACCAAGAATACGAAATCGTATAAGTTAAAACCTACACGACGCGCAATTTTTTCCACCCTCATATTTACCAGAAAACGGAAGGGTTCATGAGGATTTTGAGTTTGATTTTGAAGCGATTAGGTGGCCAAGACTAATGTTCCTTAAACTTATCATTTACATGGAAGAGTCAGTCTAAAAAGGTTGATGACAACTTATTTTGTTCTAGTTAGAAATTAACAGTTATTAACAGTCATTAACTGGAAAAGGCAGTCACCTTTTGTCACGCGAACACTAACTCGAGAACCGATGGTGTCCGCTTAACCCTCTACACCTCAACAACAGTATGCATATTCTCTATACAATGTCCTCTATTCAGTTCCTATGGTTCTGATAAAGAGAAGCTGTTTTAAGCATAAAGAGTTTTTCTAGTTGGTGATTCTTTACTTGATTCTCGTGACGTTAATGCTTAATATTCAGGCATATTGAGGAGAAATAGGATGCTGGTCGCTAAGGTTCACACTTTCAATCTCAATGATCATCTGACAAGAGAGACATACAAAGTCACGACGTCTGCAGATATATAGTTCATCTCACCTCGGATTCGTCGTCTTCAAAAGTCTCCACCGTTTCACTTGGAGTTAGTTCTGAATTGGAGCCTAGCCATTCCTGAAATCGCTGTGAAATACATAAAAGAATGGATAAAGAAGCAAAAAGACTAAAAACACGCAGTCCAAAACAAAGGAAAACGAAGACTGTAGTCGTGATAGCCACGAGTGAAGGAGCGAGCTCATGAACAGAAGACCTAAAAAACACACCGACAATCGATTAACTAACTATAGCGACAACGAACGAAACAAACGTAACCGGACAGATATTAAATTAAAGCATTCTTACTGCTTGCTCCAGGGGCCCTCCTTCAGCACCTACTGAGTCCTCAGTTAAAAATCTTGTTACCAAATCTTGTAGGGCGTACAGTGCACGCTGCCTTAAGTAATCGGATGTTAATAGCTGTAGTTCTCTGAACAGTTCCAGCTAAAAGGAGAAAAAATAAATAGTACCAAACGTTAGCCAAACTTCAGCTTATCATCGAAAGTTAGTTAACAAGCAGAGCATTAACTAAATTCAAGCAAGCAATCCCGTTAAGTGTTAAGTAATAACGCTAGAAGGGACATGTGCACGAACGTACTATAATTTAGTACCTAGAATGGAAAGGACATCACGTCTATACCCTTGGGACTTCGTCACTAGCGGAGTCTCTCTCTCCAGTTCTTACTTTGAAGACTGGATAAACAAATTCTACGGCGAAATAAATTTCATTCCGTGCTTACCAAGAAATGTGGTCTGGATTCGTTCAAAGAAATGAGTGTTGCCACTTCGGAGTAAATAGAGTCTCTGAGTGCCTCAAAAAGTGAAAACTCACTGCCTGCCTCTGAGGCCCTGCAAGAATTTCAGTGTGATGCATTAATAGGTAAGGATTACAATGTATCTGAAACGCAACATCAAATAAAATAAATTTTTGAGCCCACCTATCTGCCTCTTGCCAAGACCTAGAGGGTAAAAACGAGAAAGAAAGAAAGCAGTATGTAAACTAGATAAAGGCAAATTACTATCCCCTAGTTTAGACGTAATTTGGTCGCCATGTTATCTAGGCTATTACCACGACAAAACCACGAATCGTGGTACATCACCATCATGTTATTTCAATCAAATTATTAAGATATATACTGCCAACTGCAATTCTAAAGGTATTTTGGATGAGCTTCAACAAAATACGCTTTTCACTTAATAGTTGTTTATTACGCGCTAAAACATCGTAATAACTATTATTTACTTAATCACTTGTTCCAATGTTAAAGGAAGGAAAAAGCAAAAAGGAAAGAAAGATTTTGTATAAAACTTTCCTTTGCTCCAACCTTTGCACTACCAAGATCTCAAAGGTAAATCTCCTTTCTTTCTGTACTATAATTCTTATGATGGTACTTCGAAGAATTTGGTATCGGATCAACTTAAAAATCTCCTAGTTGACATTTTTCTTCATTCTCATCACCATTCTGCCTGATACATATATCATAGTAAACGTTTTATTGTGTAGTATCGCTGAGTATCTTTACGAGTCGTGCCGTATTTTGACGAGCCCATATGGCGAGTCAAAATACAAATAATGAGTAAAAATACTCAGCGATACTACACAACAATACGTCTAATAAGTTATTTATTATCCAACACGCCAAATTGTTATTTCAGTGCGGGCGAATTTCGCGGATATTTATTTACGGGAGCGCGTGACAGAAGTCTGCGAAGCGAAACTGAATTGGCGCGTTGTCGTGCTGATGTTTCTCTTTTCTTCAATAAATGAAGGAATTTCGTGGTCGTCTAGCTGTTTTTCCTCGTTCGATTCAACTTGGATCTATATTTGTCAGCCATTCCGACTCTTCGACATCAGAAATATGATTCCAATTGTCCGCCCTTTTTTTGTTTGTTTTGTTTTGTTTTTTTTTTTTCCATAACTACAATCCACTTCTTCGCTTACGCGATGCGAGAAAACCTGTCTAACCGGTTCTCTAGAGTACAAATACCGCGTGATATTTGTACTCTACGGAGTGTGGTTGGATAATAATGTATTGTTGTTTTAAGGAGAAATTCTGTCTTGGTCACTCATGGGAGGTCAAGGACTAAAACGAGTTATCGAAATGCACTGCATTGAATATGGTGATCTTTAATTTAAAAGCTAAATGAGATCAAATATTCGCGTACCCTTTTGCGACGTCCTGTGCATCTCCAGGCACACTTGAAGCTCTTGAAGACGTCTCTACCGATTCTGCAGCGAGTTTTTGAGCTAAGCTGAATTCTGCACTCCTTGAGGCTGATTTATCTTTCTGTGCCAGGCTGGCCGCAGCGGCTGCTCTCATAGGTGTGTTAAACGTGCGGCCAATCACATCCGGGCTGCTCTCTGCTCTAGATGCATTTACACTTGTTGATGTCAGTTCTGAAAGATGCAAAGAATAGTCTGACGAATGAAAATAAATAATGAAAACCTCTAAGTCGCACTGCAGATTTTACGAAACATTCCTGTTTTGTCCTTCGTATAAAAACTAGAGCCGCGCACAATCAACTAAACAACTAGAGAAAGTTCGAAGGAGACAAATAAGGAAACCATCTTCACTTGTTTGCTACTTTTGTTTGTTTAAGATACAAGTTTACAAAGCAAAAAGCATTGCTTAACCTTTACATCCAACATTTTATTCTCCTTACTACTTGCCACACAATTCCTATCATGTTAGTTCAGAAAATTTGGTATGCGATCAACTAAGAATCCCATCGTTGATATTTATCTATATTCTCATCACTTGCCTGCTTGATATTGTGTTATTATTGTGTATTGTCAAAACCAGCATAACCTTATGCACTTACCTTTGTAAGAATTCGGATCGTATTTCCGTTCCAGTCTAGCATTAGCAGGAGACAGACCCCCTCCTGTCGCGCTAGGTCCCACTTCTCGAACTACCATTACAGGATTAGCCGTGCCTGACGAGGTGGGTGGTGGAGAAGGAGCAGGTTCAACAGGATGCCCACGTTGTGTAAAAGACCTTGGACTTGGTATGCCTGTGTCTGGGTTAACACTGAAAGTTTCCTGCACAGATTGTCGTGAAGGATCAGTAGATGCGGTTTGCTGGAGAAACAAAACAAACTGCCTTAATGTTGAAGGGATTGACGATGATAAGTGCAAATCCCAAAACATTCTCTACATTGAAACAGAGTAACAGAATATATATTAACCCAGTAGAGAACGAATGAACTCCAAAAAGTTTCAACTGGCGAAATTAATTGAAAGTTTAGTGCTAATTTAAAGGTCATGACAAAAAACTTGGAAAATGAAATCATGAAATATTTAAAATAGGATATATACTTTGTAAACTACCTACACTCTCCAGTCAGGGATTAATGCTTCAGATTATTTTCCTAAACTTCTGTTAATTCATCTAGATATGATTGTGCTCAAATATCCATCTATTTATTTACGTATGAATTTGTCTGCTCACTCGATTTAATTCAAATAAATATCATGTCCTTGATGCAAGATGAGTTTAAAGTTTATCATGTATATTCAACGTTCAAGGTCATTTCAACGATTTCAATTCCAAATACAACATTGTTGACTTCTTACTAATGCCGTGTGTTGTTCAAAGCACACAACGGTAAAGTAACAATTTAGCAGAAAACTGATCTTTTTCTCAACCTCTCCCCTTGATCGTGGAGACTGCCACACACCCACCTGACCAAACTGAGGATACCAAGATGTCCTAAACACAGGTGCGGATGAAGGTGGTCGATATGTACTGGTAAAGGGTGACTGGCTAACCAGAGGCGCAGAGAATGGCGGCTGCAAAACACTATGCGATGGCAGACTCATGAAAGAGGGAGAAGCATTGTTTAAAACGCTAGGAGTCACAGTCTGAGGTCTGTGTGGTGAAGGATTGTGTTCAGTTGCCGCAGTGGAGGGGTTGTACGTAAACAGCTGCTGGAATTGATGTTGAAGGGCCGCCATATCATGATGTTGCTGCTGAAGCTGTGAATAACACTGATTGAGGCTTTGAAGTATCTGGTGCTGTTGCTGCATGTAGCGCTGGTGATCAAAGAAGCTTTGAAGACCTTGGTAGGCTTCTTGTTGCCTTTGTTGATACTGCTCGAATGGATTGCCGCCTAAACCGTAGAAAGTTGGGTACTGATCATTAAACAGAGAAGAATGAAGTAACACTTATGTACTTCCAGAATAGGTTTGTAGCCAGTGAATTATCATTCCCGAAACAGTCGAATTATCATCTTCACAGTGTTAAATTTAGAAGGGAATTAGGCCAAGTCACGATTTTCAAAATGATAACGAACATTTACTAATCTTATGTCTCGTTTCGGAAAATCTTATCCAGTTAAGACCTGCTCAATTTGCAACAGGATTAAAAAACGATTTCCTAGAGGCGCATTTCCTCATCGTGCAACCAACTCAGCAAAGCGGGATATAGATAAAACTACATCTAGGCAATGAATATTAATGAGTTTACCAAGACTAGGTCCAGGGATGTTGCTCAGATTCGGGCTTGCCGCAGGTCCGGTGGGAACACTCCTGCCAATTACTGTAGACACCAGCAACTGTTGATCCCTGAGGAGTCCGTTGCACAGAGTGGAGAGGTCGGACACCTCCTGGTGCAGACGCTCGCAGTGCTGCTCCCATGCCTGCCTCTCCATGTTAAACTGCTCCTGTTCTCGCTCCTTGATAAGCTGCTCAGCTGGCGTGAAGTTCTAACGAAGAACATTAAACACCTTCAGCCATTTCGGATCGTATCAACCACAAAGGCTACAGTGTAGCATAATTCCAACATTAAAACTTTCAATAGAATAAGAAAGAGAGTAAGTTTTGAGCTCGATAAAGAAATAGACTAAAAGAGATGGTTTTTTTGTCTAGTCGCGAGCGTGGGACAAAATTCAAAACTTGCCATCTTTCTTATTCTACTTACAAAACATGACGCTATCAACACTGTCGATCCTGGCAGTACGTGTCATATAGAGTCTGTGACTCAGTGTCAAGAGTATCGGAGCGCAGAATCCAAAGGTCTGACCGTTCCATTCTTCATGGGAATTTAATATTTGTCCCTCGCTCGTGACAAGACGAAAAACCATCTTTCTCTATTGAAACTTTCACTTTCAAAATCAATAGGACCCGTAATTGAGGTGCTTACATTTAACAAAGGAATCCCTCCCGAAGGGGTTTCAATCACTTTTTCCATAAGAGCCTGCCGCTGTTGTAGTAGGCGACTGCGCTGTGTGGAAAGCAGTGGTAAGAAGTGTCATAGGCGGGAGGAGACCGACGGTAACCGGCTTTTAGTGAAACCCCTGCTTCCAGATAAACAAACCCCAAGGAGATAGCTGCTTGAAATATCTCAAAGTTAGTTACACCTAACTGACATTCTGGGCTTTCACAGCTAGCCACAATATTCTTGATTCAGACTTGATCAAACTTATGCTTATCATTAGTACTTTCTACTCACCCACCATTCTAACGTTCTACACAACTCTTCTTGCTCACTCATTTGTAAAAACAGATCCCTTTCATTTTAGACCTTAAGCAATGTGGTTCCTATGTCTAAAAAGCAAACTTATGGACCTTTTCGTTCGTATTTAAATAGTTTTAGGGAACGTACCTCTTGTCTAATTCTTCCTCGGGAATTCCTATCAAAGTAGAATGTTCTTGGCCAGTCTTCAAAAGTGAGACCTCTCTCTCTTTCCCTTTTTCGTGCTCCACCTTAAAGTTAGAGTATAGATTGGTAATATACAGATGTGACTCGAGTGCTTACATTTCCTGTTGCCCAAAAGTTAAATGTAAGCCCAGCATCATTACAAATGTAAATATTCTAGTACTGACAGGCGTAGATATTCATGTTAGGAAAATAAAATAACTGCAAGTGTTGTTAGACAAACACTCGAGGGGTTCAATGTTACGACAAAAGGGCAGAGCCAGACTACAAAGTATTGCCAAATATCAGTGGAACGTCACGCCACTTTGGATGATAAAAATTGGGGCAAAAACTGCAAGGGAGTAAGCGTATCCTGTCTGAAACACAAACTTGGAAAATACAAGCGACACTTTAAGCGAGGAAAAACGAGATCAACAAGTAAAATTAGAATCTTCATTAATAGGTAAATGAGCGCAAAGATTTAAGCCCCACCAGATATTGTAGTGCCATCAATCTTGCGTTTCTTGCCACTACTGGGCTGAGAGGTGCTATCCACACTGCCTCTAAATGCGGTCATACGAGGGACTCTCTCTCTGCTTCTAAACACAGCTTGAGCTGATCCTGAGAAAGCCTCTGGTTCAAGACGCTCCTCTTCCTCCTCCTCAGCTTGGACGATTCCGTCCGGATAATCATCTTCTACTTCTACGGCGATCTTTAGTGACCAAAAGACAAATATTTCATTTGAAGACCAAGCTTTAAGTTCGTAATTTGCAAAACAGGTCAACCCTTAAACGTGGAGCTTTTCAATAGAGTATCACTCCCAAGGACACAAGGATACACATGAATTTTAGGGAGAAAATAAGCCTTGAAAAGTTAGTTATGATTCGGGCAAGAAGTTCCTACTAAAGGGGAAAAAACATCTTCGTTGACACGTTGTAACATTTTGAATCTTATGTATAACGTATCAGGCCTGGATTAGGCAACTCTTGCGTATGTATGAGATTCTGCCGGACGGGTGTGTTCCCGAGCGATTTTAGTGCTCTTACCGCTACCATATCAGGGGTTTCGGCATCTTTTTCCCATAAGCAGCTCTCGATGGTGAAATGGGCGCTGTACACGAGAGCCTCTCTAGCGCACAAGTTAAAGAGACGGAGGTACGAAGTGTTTTTGGCAGCGGTCTGTAACCGACTTTTAATAAAACCCCTAAGTGAAACTCAAGGAAGAGAGAGTGGGCAGAGAAAGATTATCATCGACCTTAAATGCCATTCCTAAAACGCGCTACTGTAAAGTCATGTTCTTTAGGAAGCCACAAGGCTGCCTCTATATTTCTGACTGATATATTTTGCCTCTATATTTCTGACTGATTTCAAATCTAAATTAAATCGCCACAGTTTAAAGTAAGATCTTAATTCTAAGTAAATTTTAGACACGGCCTCCATGAAAAGCATAATTTTTTATTTATTTCTTTTATTTTAATTGTTATTATCAAATCATTATTGTAGTTAGATAGATAGGTTTCTAGTATAGAATTAACTAAATCAACTGATGGAAAAAGCGTGTATAAATAAAGTTATCCTATCCTATCCTTCTCTTTGTGCTTTACCTGTGCTACCTCGTTCCCCTCATCAGATTCATCCGCGGATACTGCTGAGTCATTCTGAGTACTGCTGGGCTGAGTCGAGCCGCCCCACGTAGCGGTGGTAATGTCAGCACTCATCATACTCACACCAAACCCTTCATCGATGTCACCACTTCTTCCACTCCTCACAGAGTATGTCCCACCTTCGGACAAATCATCGAGCCCCGACTTCTTTCGCTTCTCTAAAAACTTTTGTTTTCTTTTCTTTAGCTTTTCCTCGTGCAACTCTCTCTGACGTCTCAGTTCTGACCACACTAACGCACTTGGACGAGCTGTTATCAAAATCAGCCTGACATCAATTCTTTAAGGGTATCATAAGCGTTGGTTTAACTCTAATCCTATTTGGCTTTTGCTTCTTAAAGATTTATACCACGTTAGCCTGTCACTTCGTTTTGTTCCCTGGTGGCATATTACGACCATTTTTTACAAGAAAGGGGCTTAGCTGTGCGCACACTCAAAGCTCCGCTATAAAATCCTCAAAACCTTAGGCCTACAGTAAGTCTCCAATACGCGACTTTGCTTATACTGCACAGATGTTGCTCTTCTTTCTCTTCTCCCTGAAATTGGTCTAGGAAGACTAACACGAAGCTCTCAAGATATATTATGCAAAAAATTTAGACCAAGCCAACCTGCTTCAGGCAGTTTCCTCGTTAACCACTCACAGCATCTTAAATTGTAATCTTATCCTCCACTATTTTCATAACATTCGGACTAAAAAAGTCTATTTTTACAGTTGTGTATGGAATCATTCCTTCTAATGCCTCGTACAGACACTAATAAAAAACAAACCTCTAGGAGGTTCACTTGAGTCAACAGATCTTGCAACCCTCAGGTCAGAACCGTAAAATGGGGTCTGCGTTGAAATTTCCCTGTTCACTGGTGCATGGATCATGACTGGTCTCTTTGAGAGAGCACCTCCGCTGGTGGAAAATGCACCGGGTCTGAGCATTATTCCCGCAGTCACGGGTTTTTGTGGTTTTCCTTGTGAAGCTTGAAATGTCTGAAAGAGAACGCTTGGGTCTTAAAATGATTTGCGAGCATTTTAAATTCCAAACCGGATTAAAGGAAGTGGTATATTAAGATCAGTCCTTTCGTTGGTTGAAGGAGTTTTTGAATAGTTCACCTTAGGAATAAATTGCTTCGCACCCACCTAAGCCAGTTTGCGAGGGGCCAACTTGTCGAGGCAGGGCAAAACTTACAGATACACTTTGGACAGTTTTTCACGAGAGTGACAACATATAGAGCAAGGATTACTTTTGTCAATTTTGAGAAAAAGTGGTGGGTGAAAGAGAATCATAATCAAACGAATGCCAAAGCGTTCAAAATCGATGCTAAACATGCTGTGTTTCTAACTACAAAAAAAATTAAAAATGACACATGCACCTGAAAGAAACGTTTCCATTCCTCTTCGCTACGTGGTGAACAGAAATCGACTCTAGGGCAATTAACGGAACGCTAGGCGCCTATCTACACCTGGTATACATACTTTCCCTACCCACTTCCCCCAACCCCACGCTCGACAGTGACTGTTACGGTAACCCATTTTTTGTACCTGTGTGGACACTGTCTTGTGTTTTTCAGTGTGTCTGCTTATTCTGGCCAGTTCTTCCTGAACTTTCAGTAACCTTTGCCTTTCCTGTTGCAGTTGCTCAAGCTCTGCCGTTTGTTTCTGCAAATACCTCTGGTACACTGCTTCCTGGTCACTCTCTAATACACAGAAATCAAGGCACTTAATCTTACATACTTCAAGAGTATAATCGAATCTCGCTTATTTAGTAGTACGAACACTGTGATGCAAACGTAAGTTTATCATTACTGGTTGTTTCCTGATTGTTGTCACGAGGCCGTCGCTGAATAGAAATAAACACTTTAGAAATACTTTGTTATCACTTGTTCAATAGTATAATTATACCGGAACCTTCCGAAAGTAGCGAGCCTTAATGTATGCTGCAGTGTTTTCGCAATGCAACGTACAAATGGACTTCCTGAGGGTAACTAATTTCCATTACCCTACATGCGTTCTGTACATAAGCTGTTAGAAATTTAGAATGTGTGAAATTTGAAATATAGTAGTCTTCACCACGAATAAGAAACAATTAGCAGTTTCAGTAACTAAGGAAGGCAATTAACAACATGGGTGTTTTACGGATTTGGATCACTCCTTGATAAAACGGCTCATCACTTTCAAGTTGAAGGCACAACTTTCGTTGGACCTTTACTTTTAAAGGGAACGTTCTCCGTTTTAAGATGAGTCAAAACCTGTCGGGAACTTTACAGCACAAACAAAAACACTACCACCTTCAATCACACCAAAACACTTAAACCATAATAAACTCCAACAGAGACTTTATCCCAGGAATTCAACACAGGGTAGCTGCCTACTTTCAATGAAAAATGTCGAAAGCTTTGGCGAAAGAAAGCTGCCACATTTAACGTCTCGGGGAATGTAGGGAAAGTGTCTACAACGAAACAACTCAAGTTCAACTTGAAACCAACCTTCAAGATCCAACATTCTGTTTCTGTTAAGAGCTGCAGAAGCTGCGGCATCTTCACCAGCCTCTTCGTCCTCGGTAGCCGTGGAAACTTCTTCGTCTTCGTTCTGCACATTCCCTCGCTCATTGTCATATGAAGTCTCAGATCTGTTGCTTTCATCTCCATCCTCGTCATCATCTTCTTCTCCTTCCTCGGCTTCATCATCGTCATCATCATCATCACCATCGTCGTCTTCATCGAAATCGTCTTCATCGAAACTCAGCTCTGCCAACTCTGCTGGCAGCGTTGGAGAGGATTCTGGAAACTAAAGGAATAAATCTGGACATTATGGACAGTCTTTCGCTTATTTCACCATGGAAATAAGTTACACAATACGTTTTATATCATGTCCACGTAAAATACTACATGTACCAGGGAACATTTGAAGTGCACATTACGAAAATACACATGGAATGCCAACGTGGTAAACAAAATATAGCAAAAGGTACTTAAGAAATTAATCATCCACATGGTTCGTACAACTTCAGACAAACAAAATTCAAGGACTTTTCAAGGACAAAAAATGGTTTTCAAGGACTAAGTTTTATTCATAAATCTAAACCATCTACGACTGAATACACATTTGCCCATCGCTCAATTAAATTGAAAACAAAGGGAAATGAAAAATTCATCGACCAAAACATAGCCAAACCACTATACATGTTTACGTTGCCCCTTAAAACAAAAGCACATGGTGGACTACCCCACATCGGAGGCCTTGCGCATGAAATTGAGGCACAGATCCAACTTTTCTTCATGTACCACTCATGTTTTATACCGAACATTTTCGCTTTTTGGTAGCTACTAGTGGACAAATTTTCTATAGCAAAATCGTTTAATTTATCACAAAAGCGATAAGGCGCACAGAAGTTGCTAAGTTTCAAGGACTTTTCATGACCTACTAAAGAAATCAAGTATTTTTCAAGGACTTCACCAAATTCAAGGACTTTTCAAGACGACCGTTAAAATTCAAGACCTTTTCAAGATTGTACGAACCATGATCCAATACACAAACACGCACGCACGCACGTACACTCAAGTACACACGCGCCTCTAGTTCGCGTGTGTACTTGAACAATGCGTGTCTAGTACCTTGGATAATGACCACTACACAACACTGTGTGACAGGAAGTTGTTTGGATTTCAGAGAAAGAGTGTCAACATCTATGTGAGTAACACTGCACATTGCATCACTTTACCAAAAGTTACTAGTACCTGCTGTATTTTCTTGACAAGTTCCTGTAGCTGTTTTAACTTCTGCTTGGCAGAATTCAGTTTTCTGGTCGATGTTAAATAAGAAAGAAAATGAAAATATCTTTAGCTTGTTTCCTTATACAAATTGAAAGCAAAGAAAAAGAAAAAGAAAAAAAGAAAAAGGCAGAACAGAACAGAAAAACAACTAGAACAGAAACAAAATAAATACAAAAATCATGGGCAAAAATGCTTTCCGTAATTTTGGCTGTTATTTCTATAATCCACAACAAACAATTAGGACGCTTGTGTAAAAGAATACGCAAATACAAGTCTATTTTTATAAGTATGTTCCACTCATTGTCCCCTTGTAATGCTGATTTTAACCACGTAAATCCCTACCCTCGCTAGTAACACTGTTCGGGAGGAAGTGCTTTATAGCTTCAATGATACTTGTATGAAGGAGTAGTAAGTAGGGACTTTTAGCATAAGTTTTAGAAAGTGGAGGGTCCTAAAGACCAATGGAGAGGATTGTAGCTTGAAAGATAATATCAAAAGCAGTCCAAAATGATTGAAAATGTTCTCAACACACCTGACTTTAGCCTGAAATTCAGGATCATCCTGCCAAGCTAAAGCATTAACACTTGAACTACCACCACTCACTGCACTTTCAGCATCAGTGTCTGTCTGAGTCTCTGCTTCAGATTCTTCCTCTGCAGCCTGGGTCGGCACAGGTTCATTGTTCACCCTAGCGGGTGACGGCTACAAAGAAAGTAAAAGGCACTTAAACGTTCTTAACGAATGTCGACAAGAGTGCAGGAAGGGTCACAATTAATACTTGGTGCAATATTGTGATTTTTTTGGGATGCAGGCGGGATAGTCTTTGGTTATTTCGGATATCAACGTTTCTTTTGTCCTTTCCAAGGTAGCAAACAGCTTACCGAAGCTCGTTATTTTTTACAAATCTTTCACACGAAAGCCAATACTGCATAATTTATTCCGCCAGAAAAAGATTTTTAAAAGAGGCACAGATAAGCAATATAAAATACCCTTTTACATTCCTCATACGTACATACCTGAACATTTTCATTTGTTTGTTTAAATAGGTGAGTAACCCTAGCCCTTGCTTCTTGAAGTTGCCTATGTACAGGAGAAAACAAAACATGCCACAGAAACTTGTCTAAATGTTCCAAATAAAATGAAAAAATTGTCATTACCATGCTGACCTGGAAAATTTGTAAAACAAAGGGAGAACCTTAGAATAAGCAGAAACAGTACATCATTGTAAAGTTACAAAGGGAAAACATTCGAAAACTGAAGTAACCTGATAAAAAGTAAAGCTAAAATCACCTCCTCAAAGAAGTGTAGAGAGTAAAACACAAGTAATTTGTTTCTTTACCTTAGCCGTTTCCCTTTAGCCATGAAGAGAAGCATGAATATACTGGGTGAACGTCAACACCCCTCCTCCCCCCCCCACTCCCTCCCCTCCCCTCCCCCCACTTCAATACCCTTTTAGTAAAAATCCTGAGAGCATCACGCTCCTCTCCTCTTGTCAAAAATAAATGAAAAAGAGTGCTATACGGGCTCCCTTTTTTGAAGACACCATGGAAACTGCCTTTGCTCGTAGACGCAAAGTTCAAATGTTCTTGCACAACGTGTTGTAAACGCGGATTTACATGTAAATGCATTCTGTCTGTATTTAGTATCCTTAACACTAAAAAAGCGGCTTGCCTCGAGCGCGAGTCCTGTGTGAAATAAAAAAAAAATTGCATACATGCAAGGGACTTGTGTATCATAAACGATGCCATGCGTCAAGCACTTTGTCCCTTACTTTTTTCCTCGAAAACGTCTCCAACGTCTTGCAACCCGAAACTCACATCTCGAACGTCGAAACTCAAATCTCGAAACTCAAAACTCGTTTCACGAAACTGTTGGGAATCGATCTTCGATTCGAGACTGTCAATCTAGATGTACATGTACTATTAGAGCGGTACGGTACTGTACTCTACAGCACTTTACCTTATTTTTGCCATCAGATCGGGGTCTTCCACACCAGCACTAAGCATCCACTCAATGCTACTTAAGTCCTCGTCGGTTCCACCAGTACCTCCTCCAACTGCACCTTCCATTTCTTCCTCTTCCTCAGTGCTCTGAACGGGTAAGCTGAGACGCTCTCTTTCAGGTTGAACTTGTGCCCCATTCTCTGGTCTGTCCACTTCACTTAAAGTTGGCTGGAGAGTATGAAAGCATTCAAGTGTAAATTACGTCTTGCTTATATTCAGATTGCAGCCCGTTGTGACTGGATGAAAAAGTCAACTAAATAGAGAGATGTACCTACATTTGTTTCCTCGTGCGACTATTTTACTATGTTTGTATAAATAACTTGCACAAGTTATTGTGTCCAGTTTTGTTGCTGATTGTACGTGCATATTAGGTTTTAGATTTTCTGATAAGACAATGAAGTTTTCTCTTTCAACTACATGTGCAAAATCAACGAACGCGTTACACAACCCCAAAAAGTCAATTCATTTTAAGGTAGCCGAAACCGTGTCATTTAAATGCAATAATAAGACAAACGAAGCTGACTTCACTTCGATAATTTCTTACCTGATATTGACCAATCAATTCCCGCAACTGACTCAAGCGATCTCTCACTTCTTGCAGGCTTCTGTGTTTGAAAGAGAAATTTTTATAGTCATACGTAGGTCTCAAGGAGTTAAGGAAGCAGCAGATCCCAAATACATGAAGCAGAGTACACTTAATAATCAAAGTCAGAGTTAATATACCACACCAAGAAATAGCCAAATGCTCCTTAATCTATCTTTTGCATTGTTTGGTACACGCTGTGTTTGAAGTGTATGTAAAAGGACGTCTGACTGCTCATTTTTTCATTCAAAATCAAAGTGCTACAAGTAGTTTCTTGGGCTCTTACACGATACAAGAAGCTGATTTCTTAAGAGTCCGTCTGAAAATGAAGACTTGACTGATATTGGTAAACGGTAAGCCTGGGCATGAGCGGTAATTATTAAGAACAACTCCTTGCAAAAAAACCTGTCGGCCGACCGTTGTAAGCATGCCTCACGGCATTTTATGAAGTGGCTTACATTGCATGATCCTTACTTTAGTTTCTCGTGAACTTCTAGAGCCTCTAGGATACGCTCATCATCTAGCTTTTGAGATGTCGTGGCAAGCGGTTCATCCTCTTCTTGTTTGGACTCATTCACACTTGCACTTGCACCCCCAGCAGCGTCTAAGGATTCTAGAAGATCACACTCTGTTACAATTAGCGCTGTCAACTAATTACCAACGTTAGAGATAGAAACGAATTGAACTGAAAGCCTCGTACAGCGCACCCTGTCATGGTTCTGAAGGATGGGTAATGCTGCTTCTCTTGGATGACTTGGCCTCTCCACCCAATGCGTGCAATTTCTCCACACACTAGGCAGAACACTACAACAAGCCAGTAATTTGTTTCATTCCTCCTTCTCCAAGAAATCTTCGAGGGTTTCGTTGTAACATTGTTTATGATCCCCTTTTCAAACACAGGAATAGCAGTGTGTTTTGAACATGTGCGACGTACCTTTTCTTAATTGTGCTTCTTTAAGAGACTGAAGCTCCTTTAACAAAGTATCCATCTGCTCCTTTTTTGCCTCTAAGACCATTAACTTATTCTCAAGTTCCAACCTTTCTTGAGTTGCATTTGCTAGGGCTAGAGCAGCCTAAAAAAAAAAAAAAGAAATTGTATCACAACTGGAAGTACAGACAACACTGCTCGCGTCAACGTGTCACGCAACGCGTCACGTACTGTACGAATCGTTATATTTGACGTCAATATTGTGGTAAAAAAAACCAAACATTTTTTGAAAGCTTCGATGACAAATATGGTAGCCGATAAGAGTACAAACCACGCTAGACCAATGTCGATTTGTTAAATACCACTTCTACAAAATACTTTTAATTACAATTATCTGTGTCAAAGGGAGTGAGTGATTAGTATTTTTTTAAATTTAATTAATTTTTTTTTGCGGGAAGGAAATAGAGCAGAAGTTAGTCTAAAAAAAAAAAAAGAAAACCACATAAATAGGAAATGGCAAAAGATCTTGACCCCTTTCATTCTAGTGATCTAACGTAAAAATTTCAATGTTTGCCACAAATTCTTTAAAAGTTTAACTCTGAGAATTTGCTGTTAAATCAAACAGTAATCCCGTACTGACGTACTTCCCTATTCTAAGCACCTTCCTACCTTAAAACGTATTCACCGAATGCAAATATGGCGTCCAAATTTGAATTGCCATTGTTCTGGACTGACCAGCCTCGTCTTCACGTGGAAATACAAAAGGATTATTACATGTGTGAGAGGCTAGTCAGTCCAGAACAATGGCAACTCAAATTGGACGCCATATTTGCATTCGGTGTATTGAAAGTGTGAGGAGAAGCTCCGTTTTGATCACTCCTGGGAGTGAAAAGGACGACGCAACCCAGACAATTGGGTATTGCCTAAGCCGGAGAAACGATAGGACCTTTAAAGTGCCCCTGAGATCAAAATTTTCGTAGATCATTTTTTTCCATTTTCGTGTTCAGTGTGTCTCCTTCACCTACTCTGCCAAATTTCAGTTTAGACCGAGCACCAGAAATATCTTTTTTTCGTGCCGTTAAATTCACGATTTCGCGTCCGCCATTATTTGATCATGTTCCGGAAGTTGATCGCAAGACTCAGAGGAAGTGACGTCAAAGGCTCAACGCCAAAATCTCACATGGCAAAA